AGGCATACCCGCTCTCCAGCTGGGCACTGTGTCCATGCCCACCAGCCACATTCCTGCCACCCACCCTGGTCCCCAACCCTTGATGCTATGCCGCGTTCGTGTGCTGCCAGCTAATAGTTGTGGATGACACCTCATCACTCACGTTTTCCTTTGCCTGGTGACTAGTCATTTTGAACATCTTTCTAGACACCAGTAGCCATTTGAGTTTTCTCTCTAAGTGGTTTCTTCATATCCTTTGCCCACTCGCTACATGGATGACTCCAGCTGGTGAATTGACTCCTAGTTTCCTCTGCTGTAAGGAAGGAGAGACTCCCCACCCCCCAATAAGGTCTTGGGAGGATGGTCTCGGGACGGAGGACTACACAGGTGAACTGAGGAAGTTGAAGGGAGCCTGAGATACGGGCAGTGTGGAGGGGACAAAAGGGATTCTGGAGGCACCGGAGACTGGTGACAGCAGACAAGACCCACAGGAAGTCATCACTGCCTAGTACTCTGCAAAACTGGAGCTGTGTGTGTGTGTGTGTGTGTGTGTGTGCTAAAATTTGGGTAACCCAGAGAGGAAGCCACCCCTCCAACCACTGGGGTCAAAGTCTGTGCAAGGGTTGGGGCAAAGTACCCAAAGAAGTTCCCAGATCTCCCTCCCCACCGCTGCCTGTCTCGTGCTGGTATCTGTTACGGACCATTCCCAATCAGAACCCAAAGTGCAAGGATACTTGGTCCAAAGGGCCGGGCTCTGGGATGCAGGCAAGCAGGTGGATGGAGGCAGGAGGGGGTTTAAATGGAAAAACCAGCACCAAGGTTGGAGGTGGTCACACCTGGAAATTTTCCTGCACATAGTAGGTGACCAAGAGATGCCAGCGCTCCCCAACGCCGAGCTGCGTCTGGAGGCTGGTTCCTGAATGATTGCTCAACAACAGCAATGGATTGTTTACCGCTGGGCAATCTGCAGCCAAAGCATATTTCCCCAGGTCGAACTAAAAATGAAATCACAGGGTAGAGGCAATAGTTAAGAGAGACAATGAGGTGCCAGAGGGGCCCGGGGACTGAGTCGAAGTCTCACCAACGACGGCCAGATCTACAGCGCGCGGGAGTAAGAACAAACAGGTTGAAAATTAAATATGAAATGGGTAATTATGTAGTAATGAGATTGAGGACATTACAAAGGACACTGACATTTAAACCACCACATCTCAACAGAGCAATGAACGGGAAAAACCCTCCGGCTTCGTAATTATAATCATAGTTGCCATAACAACTTAGTATCTCTCTGAGCCTCTCTCTCCAGACTGTATTTTTAGCAATGACTGTGCCTGAGCATGTATTTTTCTTTATATAGCAGTTAATTTTTCAAATTACAGATCTTAAAAAAAATTCCATTTTCATCTTCTCTGACTGTAAACGTCTCCCGGATAATTAGGGAAATGAGCAGGTGTGAAAGTCCATTGTGAAAACGCTACGAAAGTATTGATGTCTTGACAACATTTGTTTCAACAGAATGTTCTCTGGACCTGTACGGTCTATTGTTCCTTGTCATGCAGCTTAACATAAATCTTCTCCTAGGAGCTCATAAATATTTGAAAAATTATTAGCTCTGTAAGGTGTTTGAGGGTTATTTGACAAGTACAGATTTATGTTGTGTAACAGAGACTGGTTTAGCAGAATCCTGAGCCTAAGGAATGAAGGAGTGAATAAACTTTGGCTTACTTTGCTTACCAGAAATGTACATAATAGATTCCCAACTGATGCAAATAAGGGGTCAACTCAAAGGAACATGCTTTGAAGAACTCAGAAGCCAGGAGGGGGCTGAGCTGCCATTTTGGTTTCCCCAGCTGCTTGGTTTCACAGCATGTCTGGTGTTCTGGAAAGGTCAGCACTTCAACCAACTCCATTTCCGCTGTGGGGAGATGCTGGGTCTTTTGTTAGGGTCCCGGGCTTGAGTTAAATAAAGAAAATATTAAGTTGAGAACAAAAAGGATCTTGGAGAGACACATTCTTGGCTGAGGCCATGAAAGACTTGGCTAAGGCTAGTCATGCTATGAAGATTTCTTGAGAATGTTCTGTCTTTCCTGTACCCTATTTTTCCAGTTGGAGGATGTAAAATTAGCCAATCATCATAATCACTAGTTTATGAAGAGTGTATGTGCATGCACGGGGGACAACGCAGGGTAAGACTTGTCACTGTTGCCCGCTAGTGAGCCGGGAGCTCTAAGTTTGGGTGTGTGAGCCTGAGCTGCAGAGGGGGGTTGTGCTTATGGGGACTGGTAGGCAATTGGGGTTCTTCAGTAGGAGAGCAACAGTAGGAGTGGATGTTTTGGGGAGAAAGCTGGTAGCTTCCTGGGCTGGGTGGAGGTCAGTCACAGAGGCTGCAGTAGAAAACCCTTCTGAGCAAGGGTTCCAATCAGCTGGCCTGGGCCGCTCATCAGTAGCCTGGAACCTACTAGTGGGAACAGAGGAGGGTTGAGGAAGACATCCAGCTGGGACTTGAGGTTCCATCAGGTGTTTGGAAGGTCAAGGAGAAATAGGACAAAGTCTTCATCTGGGAAGCTGGCAGACTGCAGGGGTTGAGAAGCTTGGAGACTGAGAGAATGAGGTCAGCTTTGTCATCCCAGCTTCCTAAACTTCATCAACTCTGGCTGTGCCCTGAGAGTTTCCAGGCCTGCAGCCCCAGAGAGAAGGCACCAGAGGTAGACAGAGGCAGCCCGGGGGCCCAGCAGTGGCTGCCTCATGTGGGGAGGCTTGGCATCTAGGCAATCAATTCCCGTCTTATTTGTTCTGCTTGCCTTAATTATGTGTCTCTCCAAGGAAATCAAACAAGCAAGCAATAGTAGGGAGAACAGCAATTAGCGGATTACTTCCCTGATTGCAGGGGTGTGCTGAGAATCACGTTTGGGTAGGACATTCTGTAACTTCTACCATTCCTGGCAAAAGAGGTGTGTGCTGTTGTATTTACCGAAGAGGTGCCAGGAAAGAAAATGCTTAAGGAGCGGATGGATTTGGGGCTATCACGACTCTTACTGCCTGGAGCAGCTGGGTAGAGGCAGGAGAGCAGGGTTTGGTTCTGCCTGTCACTCGTTTGCTGTGTATCTTGAGTGAGTCTGGGTCTTGGTTTCCTCCTCTTTAACTAGGAGGGAGAAGGTTAGTCTTGGCTTTAACAGTTTGAGTTATTTGAGGGGTGTCACAGACATGTTCAATTCTCCTCACCCCGCAATTAGGAGGTTCTAAAGGTCTGGGGTGTAGCTTGGGCATCTGCATGGCCAGTAAGCACTGGGGTCTCTGCTGGAACTCTGAGGTCCCTTTGGCCAGGAAGCCATGTGCTTCTCTGGGTTGTGCCTCATACAGCTGGCTGGGCCTCCTGGGGTCTCATTCGCTGCTGCTTTGCTGTCTGGAGTTCCTGGCTTCAGATAAAAGAACCCGTGATCCCTGGGGACACTCGTGGAGAAGGATGGGCAGGGATCCAGAGGAGGTCATGGACAGCCCGCCCAGGCCTGCTTGGACAGTGGGGGGCAGAGAGAAGGGGGCTGGCCCTGGGCAAACGTCCTGGAGGACTCACAGCAAGATACAAAGCTTCTGGTCCTCGGACATGGATGGGCCCGGCCTCAATCTGCAACCCTTCCTTGCTCTCTGGCCCTTCTGCTCTGGCCTGTGCCCAGGAGCTCTGTCCAAGGATGGCCTGGCCAGGTGTCCTGTGTGGGGACAATGAGTAAATGCCAGGTGGCAAATGGGGGCAACTGTCCTGGCCCAGGCCCTGCCTGCTGTGTGGGCTCAAAGAAGTGATTCTAGGGAAGTGGGGAGCCTTCTCCCAGCAGCCCCCTCAGCTCAGTGTCATCCTGGAGGGGCAGGGCCCTAAGGGACTGGCAAGGCAACAGCTCAACCCGGGTGCTCAGGTGAGTCTGTCCCTGTGGGAGGGACACAGGCCTCAAAGGCACCCCTCCCTGGCCCCTGGGGCCCGTGGGTAGGTTAGGTTTCAAGGTGGTGTGGTGGCGTTGCCATGGGAAGAGAAGGGAGGCGGGCATTTTCTGGCTGTCCCACCTACTCACAGGAGCCTACAGCGGAGAGAACTGTCTCTGGCTGGAAGGAGGAGCAGTGTGGAAGACCAGGTGCCAGAGGGCTGTGAAGCCAGAGTTGAGGTTCAACACCCCCCACCAAGCACCAAAGAGAGGCCACTGGACTTCCTGGGAAAGCACAAGAGGCTCAGGAGGACCGGGACCCCTGACTGGCTGAGGCTGAGCAGGTGTGAAGGTGACCTCAACTCTGCCGTGGGGGCGCCCACACAGTACCCCCCACACCCCAGCTGGAAGCAGATTCCTCCCAGAGGCGAGCGGGTGGGTGTCAGGATGCAGCCCTGGAAGTCCACGCTCTCTGCCTTCCAACAGTCACCCTCCCCGGCGGGCTCCCCCAGGAGCATCCCACCCTGTCCCCAGGGAACTCTAGCTCAGGAAGCTCCCAGCTCACCCCTGATCTAGGATCATAGTCAACTTGAGTGCCAGGTTTGCAGGCCGGTGGAGCCGCAGGTCTGGGGGTTCCTGAGAGGCAAGAGGCAGCCTTCCAGGCTGGAATCCGCCCTCGGACCTCAGGTGACTCCTCTCTCCTCTCCGGGTCACATTTCTCCATCCTGCGAAGCGGGGACCCAGGGCCTCCAGTTTCCTTCTGTGCGGAAACTTCTAGGCTCTCCCCAGCAGGCGCCCAGGGCGCAGCTCCCAGGGAGAGAGGAATCCGGGAGTGGATGGGCCGCGAGGGGCCCCCACACCTGCCCCGGGCCGGTCGCCTCGGGTCGGGGCGCGGGGAAGGGAGGGGCGGGGGCGGGGCGGTCCCCCTGCGCCCGCCCCGCGCCTAGGCGCGCCCTGCCCGCCCCTGGCCCGGCCCGGCCCGGCCCGGCCCAGCCCAGCCCCGCTGGCTGGCGGGTCCAGGCGCCACCGGCCGCCGCCGCCCGCGCCCCTGCCCCGCCGCCCGCGTCTCGCCCGCCCGCCCGGCGTCGGCGCCTGCCCGGGCACGGCGAGGGCATGGCCCGCGGGGGCACCGCCGCGCTGGCGCTGGCCCTCGCGCTCCTGCCGGTGGCCCTGGTCGGGGTCGGGGCCCAGGGCGCAGCCTTCGAGGACCCCGACTACTCTGTGCAGGGGCTCTGGAGCTGGGGGCCCCAGCACGCGGGCCCGGGGGGGCCGCAGCCCGAGCCCCTCTCGCCGCCGCTGCGCGCCCGGGCCGGGGAGCAGGAGCGCGCGCCGCGCCCGCGGGAGCCCCGGCCGCCCCAGAAAGCTGCCAAGCCCAGGAAGGCTGCCCGGCGGGAGGAGGTGGCTCTGGAGACGCCGCCGCCAGGTAAGTCCCTGCTGCCCGGCGCCCCCAGAGTGTCTGGCGCAAGCCTCACAGCCAGAGGGACTCAAGCTTCTCTGCCCACGGGTTTGGGGTGAGAGAGCCCCCAGAGCCTCCATGGCACCCCCTGTCTCCTGCAGGCCCGGGTCCTCCCCCAGCCTCCGCACTGGGGAAGCTGCTTGGGGAGCGGGGTCCCTCCCGTCCCAAGTGATTAACTGGGCAAAGAAACTTTCTGCCAGACGCGCTTTCTCCTCTGCCCACTTCTCGATTCTTCCTGCAGGGCGTTTTCTTCGGGGAGTGAATTTCCCATTTGGCCAAGGGAAAGCCTGGCCTGTTTGGGCACAGCGGGAGGCCCGGCAGGGCCCCTCATCAGCCAGCGGCCTCTCTCAGCCCCTCCCTCCTGCTTTCTGGGGCCCCTTGAGTCCTCTGCCCATCTTGGGCCCAGTCTCCACCCCAAGCCTCTACCCAGACTTGGCCTCTGGCTTCCAGGGGGGCGGTGAACTGGGGGAGACCTGGCAGCCTGGGGTGCTGCTCCACCTCTCTCACCTCAGACCCACTTCCCATCGGTCCTGCCCAGCAGAAGGGGCTTCCATTTGGGGACCACACTCCTTGTGGAGGCGGGGCGGGGGTTTCTCTTCATTGTCCCAGATGTTCTTCCCTCCAGTTCCAGCGCCAGCGCCAAAGTTCCTAGTCTTTTTTTTTTTTAAAGATTTATTTATTTATTTATGCAAGCGCACTGGGTACAGTCAGAAGCGCGGGAGGGTGAGAGAATTCACCAGAGTCAGAGCGGGGAGCAGAGCAGGCAGAAGGACCGAAGGACACTGCTGAGGGGAGCAGTGGGCCGCAGGAGAGGTCTGTGCGCCATGTGGGACCCTCCTCCGGTGGCCGGGGAGCAGCTGGGGATCGAACCAGCGCTGCAGAGGCTGCGGGCAGCTTCGCAACCCAGCGCTCAACCACTGCGCCACCGGGGAGGCCCAAGTTCCTAGTCTTTTAACACAGGGAGTCAGCGGGTGCTGGGCAGGTTCTCTGGCCTGGCGGTGGCCTTACTTGAAAGGAGATCCTGCAGGTGGCACCGCCCATAGCTCTGGCCTGGGGGCATCGCCTTTGTTGGGTTGAATTGCTAGTGAACTACAGAGCAACTGCTGCTGAACGGGAGGGGGTGGGGTGGGGGCAGAGCTCTGCAGAGTGTGGCCAGAGCGTCTGCTTGTGGGCTTTTCGGGGATGTGTGTGTGGGGGGGACCCTGCTGGGTTTCATTGTGGGGGCAACTCCACGAATGGGCAAGGAGTTCTGTGAGTCCTATCCCCCTGCACAGAACCATCCAGAATTTCTGGCATTGCCTGGGGATTATGAGCATTCAGATTCGCAGAGGTGTTTTAGCAGGAGTGGGGAGGGAGAGGCCGGAGTCTGTACACTGTCTGCTGTGCTCCCTTAGCAGCTGACGGACACCTCTAGTTCCTCGGTGGCTCCTTGGTGGCTCCTTGGTGGCTCCGAAGACAATTGGTTCTTGTCATTTCTAATAGACAGGGAACCTGAGGTTCTGACAGTAAAAGCAACTTGTTCAGCAGCCCTCGCTGGCTTGGGGAGATTTGAAAGCCCCCTTCCTGTGCTTTTAGGACCAGCCCTTGTTGGAATCAAATTCGCTCATGTTTTTCTCCTTTAGTATCTGCTGTGGGGTTGGCTTCGTGCTGGGCATGATGGGGAGGGTAGGAGACACGCATGTGAGGTTCTGATATTTACTGGGGCCTGTAGGGGTGGGGACAGGAAAGAAGCCCCAGACTTAGAGTCTGACGCTGCAGTGAGCACGCAGGTCTGGGATTAAGCGCTCAGCTTCCTGGCGCTGGGGCTTCATCTGCAAACGGGGAGATGAGGTGAGAGGCTCCCTCGCCTGACTTTGTCACTTGTCGCATGAGGAGTTTTTCAGCAAAGGCTTCTGTTGTGTCAGCAGGCGCTGGCCCTGCTGTGAACTGCCCCTTGCTATGGGTTCCCCGGGTGAGGCCCTGGGGAGACAGAGCAGGACAGCCGCCCCTCCCACGCCCTTTGGCCCACACAGAAGTTGGGGACTTTGAGAAAGTCAGCTGATGTGCTGAGAGCGGGGTCTCTGATCCCCAAACTGGAAACCACCTGAAGCTCATCTTTGAGGCTCCCGGTGCCTTCCCCAGGCCTGCGTGGTCTCAGCATGCATTTCCAGTGAACTGTGGGGGACTTTGTAGGGTCCCCCCAAACTGGGCAAGCCAAGAGAGACAGTTAGCACATACTTTCAGCTCCTGGCCTGTCCCCCTCTTCTTTTCTGTGCTTGGTCAGTGGAATCCTCTACCCCGGGCCCTGTGTGGGGAGACTGGGTTGAGGATGATCTCCAGCAGGAGGGTCCAGGGCGGTGTGAGCAGCAGCTTTCCCCACCTAAGCCGCAGCTCACGGTGTCACGGAAGCCCTCTCTGGGCTGGGCCCAGATCAGACTCGTCATGGCTCAGAGAGGGTTTTCTAGAGCAAGGATCAGGGCAGCGCGGCTGGTGTGTTTCCTGTGAGTGTCCCGGGGTGATGCTGCCGGTACTATTGACCCGCATCTGGATCTAGGCCCCACGACGGGAGCGAGGGGTGAGAGGTAGAGATCAGTGTCTGCAAAAGCAGGTGTAACCAGTCCAGAAGCCTCTCGTGCGCTCTGTCTTGCAGATGGTAAAATATTTTCTAGAGAGTCTGTGCCTTAGGTGAAGGGTAGGCTCTGCGCAGCAGGAAGGGAGATGTGTTTCCAGGAGGGATTGTGTCCCGATCCCACGGCAGCTTTCCTTAAGGAGCTGGGGCACTGGGGAGTTAATGTTGGTGTGAGCTTGGCTGTGACCCTTCCTGGTCTCTCGCGCCACCCCAGAAATGTGCCCTTCATGTCACGTGCTGGCTCTGCCCTGACGTTCTGAGCAGGGTGTGAAATCATAAAAAATTATTTTTTAAGTTTTTATTTTAAATTATTATAGACTTACAGGAAATTGCAAATAACAATTTGCAGTGACTTCCTATGGAGAATGTTTTCTTGAAGCATAGCATGGGGTTTCTTGGCCTTGGCAGTATTGGCATTTAAGTCCATTGTGTGTGTGGGTGTGTGGGGGTTTGTCCTGGGCACTGCAGGGAGTTTGGCAGCACTCCTGTCCCCTACCCCTCAGATGCCAGTGGTCCCCTCTTGTGATTGTCACGATCAGAAATGTCCCCAATGGGTTGAGAGTCACTGGCACGTATAGTCCCCAACCAGGACGCTGACACTGGCCCATTATCATTAACTGGACTGCGTGCCCACATTTCACCAGTTTTCACATGCACTCATGTATATGTGCATGTGCACACATGTGTGTAATTCTCTGCAGTTTTATTACATGTGTAGATTTGTGGACCTGCCACTACCACCAGGATGCAGAACATGGAACCCTACATTTCCTGAGGTCCTCATGTGAACACCCCTTAAGAATTTCAGGACTTGAAAGAAGCAAAGTAGTCGCTGCCCACAAAGTCATTGCTGACTGCAGAGTCTGGCAGTGGGCTCTGCTCACGCCGCTCAGGCTGCCCCTCCATGGAATGGCTCCCGATTGCTCGAATATTCTTCCTCAGAGGTTCTGACAACCTGATTCTCTCTAGTCCTGTCATTTGGTGGTCTCGAGCCTAACTCAGTGGTTTCCAGGTCCCTGCAGCCGCAATGCTTTGGGATTCAGAGGGTGAGTCTGAGGTCGCAGTTTTCGTTGTCTCAGGATGAAAACACCCCCCACAATCTGGGACCGGGGTGAGTGGATTTGGGGTGTACTTGCTTTGCACGTCATCTCCAAATTGATGATCTTGGTTTATGGCTACGCTCTTTTAAGAGAATAAAATGGAAGAAGGCCGTAGACAGGGACTCTGCCACTTGCCTTTTCCCTCCCCAGGGTGCTAAGAAGAAACATGTTAATAAGCATGATGCTAAATGGGGTCTTTCAAGAGCCCCTTCCTCCTCCTTTGTGCCTTGGGGCAGAGGAAGACCTCAAGCTGCCGGGGTCCTGCAGGTTGGTCTGCCTGCTGCCGCCTTCTGCTGGTGTGTGGCACGGGCCATTGCGTCCCCAACCTGGTCCCCAGCCCTGAGCCTGGGAATTTGCAGGGTGGGCTTCGAGCCAGGCTTGTTTGCCTGTCTGTGAGGAGCCGAGAGGGATGGAGTTGGGTTTGTGCTGTGTCGTGCCCCAGCCTCGGGGGAGGTAACCAAAGCGTTGGCTCCGAGCATGCGGCCTCAGACAAAGCCCTTTCTGTGGCTCAGCAGCCGCTGGGTGGAAAACGCTGACTTTCAGGTCTCACTCGCGAGTCTCTGGGCGTCTGGCCTCTGCGTAGAAACGTCTTCTCTGGGGCAAAGCTGGTGTGGGAGCATGAAGAACACGTTTTGTGAATATTTCAGCGCATGTTTTAAAAGCAAGGCATTGCTGTAGGCACACCTGAGCGAGCAGAAAGAAATCTTTCCGTTGTGACATCGCATGTTCACTTGAAGGGTTATGTCCAGCGTGTTTTGTGCAGATAAACTCCCAACAGAATTCTGGGGCAGGGGGCGGTTCACAAAACAAAACAAAACAAAACAAAACAAAACAAAACAAAACAAAACAAAACGAAACAAAGATAGTTTCACATACAGCAACAAGCAGCTTTGTACGACACCCCCTCTCTTTCCAAAGTCAACTTCCTGCTGCTCCCCCAGTCTGTGCCCCTGGTTGCAGAAACTCCCAGTAGGGAGAAGCTGGATTGGAGGCTGGGGTTCCCCAAAACAGTCTTCTGTTTCCCCAGGGCCCTATGCCTCCCGAAGGCAGGTCTCTCAGTGGGTGGTGCCTGCATCCCAGCCTCCTGTGCAGGCCTCTCTGTGTGGGCTGCCCCTCCCGGGGCCCCAGCACCTGCCGTGTCCTCCTCCTCATGCGGTTCCTCAGGCAGAGGCAGGGGGAGCCCAGCGCCTGGGCCAAGTCCTCCCCGTTGGGCTGGAATTTCCTGGGGAAAATGGAAATATGCAGCCCAGGATTTTCCAGTGTGTGGGGGGTGGCTACTGTCAGCGTCTTGTATAGACGGGAGAAAATAGTTTCCTATCAGCCCAGAAGCGTTCTATTTATCGCCGTAGACCAGAATAGAACATGTGGCCTCGTTGGCAATTCAGTTTGCTACTTTTAAGGAATTCAGTTTTGTCACGCAGCCCAGAGGGAGATGTTGATTCGATTCTGGCTCCTGTGTGCGCTTTCTGCTTTGCTTCCTTCTTGCATCTGCACGCGCCATATGTTGCCTCGCCGGCTGCAGGAGAGGAAGGGGCGGGGAGGGCCTGGACCTGGCGCCAGTCTCCGCTGTGCCGCCTCCGGCTCTGAGCGGCCTGGGGAAGGTCTCCTCTCGCCTTCCAGCCTCGGTCCCCGCTGAGGAGGTCCCCACCGTGCCGAGCCTCCAGCCTCAGTAGGGAGTGGCGAAGAGCCAGTGTCGTGACCTGTGAAAAGGCTGTGAGTCGGGGCGCACCTGGGACAGAGCAGGGAACCGCATCCCCGAAGAAGAGGTGATGCTGTGGCCCCAGCCCTATGCTTGGACACAGATAGTTTCTTTCTCCCCGTGACGTCCATGGAGGCAGATCCTTCGTCCCCTTGTTTTGTTGACCAGGGAAGGGGCTCCGAGAAGTGAAGGGGCCACGGAGGACCCCCGGTGGTGAGGGCCATAGTGGAGCCTGCAGTTGGGTCGGCGTCCCCGGAGAAGGTGCCAGCACGTGCCTGCACGGCCTCGGGGAGGGATTCTGTTCCCACACGGAGGTCCTGCTGGGAGTCAAACTCTCGAGTGGCTGCACATCTGCTCCGCATCTGGGCTTTTACGGGTTCCCCAGAGCAGGGGCCTTTTCCTGGTTGGAGGGATGTGGGCCTGGCCCTGAGATGGTGAGCGTGAGGTGTGAGTGAGGCTGTGCTCTCCAACTCCTGCCTCCCACTCCCGTGTTGCCCTGAGACGGTCTGGAGAGGTTGTCCTGGCAGAGGGGGAGGCTTGCAGTGAATGACCCGCTTCTGGGAGGGTTGGGATGGAACATTCCTTCCCAGAACTTTGACTTTTTCTTCCAATATTAAGTAAACATCTTGTCTTTTTGTCAAATCAGGCTCTGACATCTCAATGTTAGGCCACAGGTTTTGCAGAACAACCAAGTCCTTGCAGAGCCTTCCTTGGCCAGGGCTCCTGGGAAGTCCCGGCAGCGGCAGGTCTGCCCCCAGAAACGGGACCGCACCGAGGTGACACAGAGACCGTGTCAGCTGTCAGGCCCCGGGTCAGCCTCCCTCGGCTGGCCTTTCTGAACGTTTTCGTCTGTTGACTTCCTTCACCCAAGGAGACACTTAGTTTGTGAATTTTCAGCTTAGATGAGAAATGAAGGACACTCCCAGCCGACGTTTCCCAGGAACACGATGAGGAGAGCGTTACGGATGGGGCCAAAGTGCCCTTTGGATTTTTTAAAGATTTTAGATTTTCTTGATAAATCTCTCTCTCTCTCTCCCCCACCCCCTCTCTTACGTAGCACACTCTGCCACTCTGCAGTGATTTCATTCATTGGCACAATCCGCTAAATTCTTCTGGTGTGTCAGCTTTCTTTCTAAAGTCCAAACTAAGTATCTTTCTCCGCAGACTTGCCCCTCCCGTTTGTCAGTTTGGTCATTCACTGACTCATTCATTCATTCACTGCCGCCTATCATACACCAGGCTCTGGGGGAAGCAAGTGAACAAAACCAGATGCAGCCTCTGTCCCCACCGACCTCCCTCCTTCTCCTTGGAGCCCTCCTCCTAGTCACGCATTGCTTAACAATGGGGTTATGTTCCGAGAAGTGCATCACGAGGCGATAGCATCATTATGTGGATGTCACAGCGTGTGATTACACAACCCCAGCTGTTCAGCCTACCTACCTCACACCTAGACGGTGTGGATTCGAAGGCTTGGAGCACCGTTGTCTATGTGGTTCATCTTTTTTTGAAATGTCACTGAGCAAAGGATGACTGTACATCACACGCACCAAACCCCTGCATCAGGCTCTGCATGGAAGCAAGCTGGCCTGAGACAGGTGCCGTCAGAGTCCACCAGAGGAGGCGCTGACTTATGTAGGAACTCCAGGAAAGCAGCTCAAGGACAGGAGGCCAGAGCTGAGGTTTGCACGTTCAGCAGGACCTAATTAGATGGAGAGTGGGTTGAAGGGTGGGCACTCCAGGAGGAGGCCTAGCACATACGAGGTTCTGATGGGGAGGAATGTGACCTGAAGCCTGGAAGGAGGCAGCTGGAGAGGCCAGCGTGGCCAGGAACAGGCAGACTACGTGGGCTCTGATTGGTGGGAGCATCATCACCCCCCTCAGTCCCTTGGAGACAGTTGGAGAAGCCCAGCCTGGTGGGAATTCCAGCTCTGGGGTCTGAAGTCAGGGTTCCAGTCCTATTTCACCAATTAGATGTGATGTCACTCCCCCCGCCCCCTCCCAGGTGGGGTGTAAACGTACCACCACAGGGTTCTGCAGGCTCAGCGTAGCTTGTGCTGTTGTTATTAGGGTTTCCCTGGTGTGTACTTCCCTTTAACCGTGAGCGCCTGGGAGGCCAAGGCGCCGTGATGGGGCAGGGAGGCGGGAGGTGGGTGTAGGGGGCAGACGGCTGCCGTGCGGGAGACGATGGCTGAGTTCTCACCATCTCGGGGGCCTCTGGCATTTGCAGAGGCGAAGGCATCTTCTCTCTCTCTCTTTTTTTTCCAGGTAAAAATAGCAACAGAAAAGGTGTGAGGGCCAAGAGCTCCGAGAAGGACGCCAGCGAGGAGCTCAGTGTCCCCGCGGCCCGTGACGACGTCCGAGAAGGTGAGTGAGCGCCTTGGCCCCCACACCCGTTGCTGGCCCGGGCCACAGGCCCCCGGCGCGGCAGCCGGCTGCAGATTCTGAATGGGGGGCTGCTGGGACCTTCTGCCTCTTCTTCACCACCCGGGTGGGGCTGACAGTATTCGCGCCACCTCTTCGGGCGCTCCGCCACGCGGGCAGGCTCGCCGGGGTCCGCAGTCATCTCTGAATTCCCTGACCTGCCCCTGCCTCCGGGAAGACACTCGTTTCCTTCCTCGGGGGACCCCGCGGCTGCCCACCCCCCGGGGCGTGCCTCTCCCATCTCCAGCCAGGCGTGGGGTCTCCAGAGGGGACGGGTGGGTGGCGGTGGGGGCGGGGGATAGAATTATGGTGATGGCAGGGGAGGAAAATGAGCCTCAGGGTGCGGGTCCTTCGCCCAGGGTTACGCGGCGGGTCAGTGCCACGCTAGGGATTTGGACCCAAGAGTGTCCGGTGCTGGATTTCTGTGCCACAGTGCAGCCGCCTGACATGAGCCGAGCGCCTCACAGCTCTGCACTTAGGACGAGCCCTCTTGAGCCGCCATGGGAGCCCAGAAACCGAGTCCCGGGCCCGATGTCACGGAGGGCGCCGCGGGCTTCCCTGCAGCGTGATGCTCGGGGCTGCGTGTCCCCCCGGGCTCGCCGTCAGAGCATCGCAGCTGTGCCGCACAGCGCATCCAGGCCTGAAGCAGCAGTTCCACAGCAGGGAACCCCTGCAGCCCCTTCACACACGAGCGTTGCTTTTCCTCTTTGAGTAGACGGAGGCCTGGACCCTGGCCCGGGGGGCGCCGGCGCCTGGGGGTGTGCGCGACTCTGCGATGCAGGCTTTGGGGTCTCCGCGGAACGGGTGGGTTTGGGATGCCCACTCTCGCTGCACGCGCGGGACTGTGTTTCTGTCGGTTAGAAGCGGAACTGCTGCCTCATCGGCCGGGAGGCCTCATCGTTAGCAGATGATCCAGGAGAGTTTTTCATTGGACCAGTTGACATTTCTCCCAGCACGGCTGCTTTGCTTCCGCATCACATCGGAGGTTGTGGCTGTTTAACCCTGTTCCTCTTGGTGGGTGTGCGCAGGTAGCCCCTGTGGCCTTAGTTTGCGTTTTCCTGAAGACTAATAATAACCAGTAGGGATCTTTTTTTGAGAACGCCTAGTCAGGTCTTCTGCTCATTGTTTATCTTGTTCTTTTCTGTTTGCTTGCTTTTCTCTTCTTTTTTTTTAAGGGGTGGGGAAAGTTGCTATTTTATTTTATTTATTTTTTTAAAGATTTATTTATTTATTTATACAAGCACTGGGTACAGTCAGAAGCACCGGAGGGTGAGAGAATTCACCAGAGCCAGAGCGGGGAGCAGGGCAGGCAGAAGGACCGAAGTACACTGCTGAGGGGAGCAGCGGGCGGCAGGAGAGGTCTGCGCGCCATGTGGGACCCTCCTCCGGTGGCCCGGGAGCAGCCGGGGATCGAACCGGCGCCACGGAGGCTTCAGGCAGCTTCGCAACCCAGCACTCAACTGCTGCGCCACCGGGGAGGCCCTGTTTGCTTGCTTTTCTTAAGGATGCTATGGATGTAAGTCCTTTGTCAGACACATACTGAGCGAGTCTCTTCTCATGCTCCCAGGCTTACCTCTTCAGTCTACTAATGGTGTCTGTTGAATAACAGATGTTCATAAGTTGAACGAGACCAATTATCAGTATTTTCTTTAGTGCTTTTTATTTTCATGTTTAAAGTTTTTTTTGCACACCCCGCATTCATGAAGATATTTTCCTATGCTATCTTCTAGCCATAAGGCTTTCTTTTACATCAGCATATATCTATTGAAATGACTTATTTTAAATAAAAATATGCAGTAAGTTATAGAGTAGGTTGTCCCTGGATAAAGAAAAATGCATGAAGATAATAAGCAAGTGATTGAGATTTAAGAAATGGCATTTTGGGACCTCCCTGGTGGCGCAGGGGTGAGTCTCAGCGCTATCAAGCTAACATCAGCCACTGCAGCACGAGTTCAATCCCTGGCCAGGGAGCAACCCACATGGCGCAGCAGACCTCTCCTGTCTCGCCCGCTGCTCCCCTCAGCAGTGTATTTCAGCAGATCTGCCTGTTCAGCTCCCCACTCTCTCTCTGGTGAATCCTCTCACCCCCTGCATCTGTGGCCTACACCCCAGTTCTTCTGTGCATAAATAAATCTTTAACAAAAAGAAATGGCATTTTAAACAAATGTGTATATTTTTTGGCTTTATATAAGCAAAGTGTAAAAACCAAAATATTAGTTTCGCACGATGATGCAGACACAGTGATTACAGCTATTGACTCATATGCAATTTCATTCACTCAGAGACTGGCTTTGGGGATTCCCCAATGAATACCTCAGTGGGGTGGGTACAAGGAGGGGTGGCGAGAAGGTCTTGGGAGGCTTTTCAAAGGAGCCATTCCCCTCCCCCTGCTCCCACTCACCAGCGTGCAGAGACTCCGAGGCTGCAGGAGGGAGGACGTGGGAGGCTTGCCGGGTGGGCTGACTCCCCTTTCCGAAGAGAGTCCTCTGCCTGATCCGCCGGCGCCTGGGGAGGCGAACAGACCTCAGAGCTTGCGCAGCCTTACAGATAAGGGCACAGTCGGGTCCCCGGGCTCAGATCACCCAGGCATGGAAGGGCCAGGCCTCTACGCTGGCAGCTTCCTGGAAGGGGTCTGAGCATCCCTATTTTAAGTTCCCCAGGAGACATCTCATGAGAACTCCTTGGGGGAGTCCAGGGTGAGGGTCCGAAAGGTCTCCTGTGGCGTGGAGCTGTTAAGAGACTGTCCAGGGCGACGAGATAAGGCTGCCATGAGCTCCTTTTCCAAGACCCGGACGGAGGCCAGCGACGTCTGAGACAGAAGAGCCGCAGCAAACACAGTCTCAGGGCACCAGGAAGCCATCTCCTCACTCAGGCTCAGTGATCAAAGGCAATGTCAAGTTCAGAAGGGCAGAGGAAGGAATGCCATGAGTCAGAGCGACTGGATTTATAGGCAGCAGTGAAAACAAGGGTCTAGGCCAGCTGTGAGCTTGTCCCTGGCAGTGCACTTGAGGTCTTGAGGAATCCTTTGCTGCTTCCAGCAGAAGATCACAGCAGGCAGGCGGCCGTGACCTCCGACTCCCCTCTGCTGACCGCTGACGCCGTCCCAGCGCTGCTGCCCTTTCCTGCTGTCACCCAGACACCAGCAGCGGCTTTCGTCTGTCACACGCTCTGAGACTAAAGTCAGCAGAGAAGGAGAAAGCTGGGGCTGGGGTTTTACGTGCAACTGATTTCAGATTTGAACGCGACACGTTGTAGCTGTTCGGCTCCGCTTCAGCCTCCTCCAGCCTTAGCTTGTTCGTGTGACTAAGGGGATGACAACGCGCATCTGTCACGGTCACGATGAAGATGGAGTGACCGGGTGTCCCCAGAGGGTCTGACTCACGGCTGTGTGCAGTCACCCTGTTGTCCCCCCTCCCCCCAAATAACAACCCCTTGAAATAAGTTGCGTGACGTGACTCACACCCCCCAGACAGATCTGGGGTCTTGGGGGTGGGATATTGGATCGATGCTCCACATTCAGGATTCTGGCTCACACACTGTGTTCTGACCACGCCTCGTCACTTCTGGGCACAGGGACCCTGTGATAGGGGGTGCGGGGGGCACCCCTCATCTGTTAAGGAGCTGGGGCTCCCTTGGTGGTGGATGGTGGTGGAGAGGAGCAGCGGGTGGAAGCCCCCGCTGTGGTGCTGGTCGCCGTTCTGTGAAGGGGTGCGGGGCCGAGAGTTTTAGCAAGGGACAGAGTCAATTAAATACGTGTGTGCGGGTGTGGTGCGTGTGCTTGCGGGGAGTGTGGAATGAGTGGAGGGTCCCCCGTTCGCCTGCCTCCTTGGGGACAGAACACAGACCTGCGGAGTGGAGCCCACACGGCACGGGGTGTTCTGGGAGCCTCCAGAGACCAGCAGTGTCCTCGCTGATGACTCTCTTCCCTCCAGATCATGACGCATCTCAATCTCTAATTAATGTCTTCCTCAAATGTTCATTTCACACCTTTCTCATGTTCTCGTCACCCACATGCTTCTCGGCATTAGAGTCTTTTGCCTCTTAGAAACAGCAAACTCTTGATGTGGCCACCAAGGGTTCTGTGCGGTTGCTTTTGCAGGGGCAGCGGGGAGCTGTCTGCAGGGGTGTGGTGGGGACAGACTGGGCAGTGAGCTGCGTCCTCCGGGAGCTACCATCCCCGGCTGCCCCGGGGCCACCTGGCTGGGGCCTGGAAACAGGCAAGATGGAGCGCTGAGCCGCTGCCTTGCTCCTTGGCTTTAAGCACTTTCTTTCTTTTTTAAAAAATATTTATTTATTTATGCCAGGGGTGCCAGAGGGAGGAGGGGGTGAGAGGACTCACCAGAGACAGAGCGGGGAGCAGAACAGATAGATACACTGAAATCCACTGCTGAGGGGAGCAGCGGGGAGACAGGAGGGGTCTGCTGCGCCATGTGGGTAGCTCCCTGGCCGGGGATCGAACTCATGCTGCAGAGGCTGTGATAGCTTCGTAGTGCTGTGCTTAACCCCTTGGGCCACCAGGGAGGCCCCAGCTTTAAGTACCCTTTAAGCCCCTCCAGCTGACACGGTCGTCCTCGGTGGTGTCCCCTCAACGATGGAGGCGCCGTCGGGCTAGGAGGGGGCTCCGCATGGGGCAGGGTGGTTCCTCGAGTCAAGGGAGCTCTCACTTGTTCCAACTCGGCATTGCTGTGGGGGTTCTGCGGCTGGTGGAGTGGGCTGGGGTGTTTGGGGGTTCCTGCTATGCTCGGCTTTGGCTGTGTCTCTGTTCATTGTTCTGGCAGTTCTTTCAGCAAGAGTCCATGCTTATGGTGGGAAGGGGTACATTTTCTCAGTACTCACAAGCTTACAGGACCATGGACATTCAAGGAGGAAAGAGGCAGAGAGGGGTGGGGGGTCCGGGGAGCAGGACTGAAGACCCTTACACCTCAGCTGTGCAAGGCTGAGCTTGGCCCTTGGGTGCCATCAGCCTTGGGTAGGCAGCTCCTGTGCCCGTCCTGCACATGTAGGCCTTGATCTTGGAGACCTGGCATCGACTGGCACCAGAATGGAGCCCAGTTCCCCTGGGCAGATGTAGGATGACAAGAGTCGGGCCATCTTGGGGAGGAAAGGTTGGGGAAAGGTTGGACACCTTAGAGCGTGATGTGGCTGGCAAGTGGCTTGGAAACCCCACCGCTTCTCTGGCGGCATCTGGGGTGGAGGTTTCTGCTGCCTGGGTGATGAGAACTCTCCTCGCTCCCACCTGAACCTGCCCCGGTCCCTGCACCTGCCCCAGGTCCCTGCATCTGCCCTGGGTCCCTGCACCCGCCTCAGGTCCCTGAACCTGGCCCGGTCCCTGCACCTGCCCTCAGTCTCTGAACCTGCCCTGGGTCCTTGTACCTTCTGTCCCTGACCTGGGCCCCCCGAAAGCCTCCTGCATCCCCACTCCCATTAGCTCTCATTAGTTTCTCACGACCAGAGCAGCCTCGCTAACCCCTGTGCGTCAGTAACCATTGCCGCCTGCTGAGGACGTTGCATTTTCTCAGCGCAGATCTGTCTCCAGCTTCTGCATTAATGGCCTGGGCAGTGGAGAAAGCTTCCAAACAAAAGCACATGCTTTGAAGAGAGCATCTTCTAATAAGGAAAAGTATCCCCATCCACGGTGACGTTTGCTTGTGGGCCGAGTCTGTGTGTTTATGTGCTAAGGCTTCGTCAGCTGTGCCGTGCCCTGGGTGGGGTGAGGGGTGGGGTTGGTGTGCCTGGCCTGCGCTGTCAGACCAGCCCAGAGTGGACGAGAGCACGTTTCTCACCGTGGCGGCTGACAGAGCTGCCGGCCCCTTGAACTACATCTACCTCCTCTAGCCCCACGGACAGTAGTTTGGCCCCAGGGGGGCGAGCACCAAGCTGTGAGCTGGTGACAGGCGTGCTCCCAAGAAACACCCTCCACTTAGGACACTTTCTTTCCTGCTGGTGCATCTTGGTGAGAGGAGGTGGTGAAGCTTCTGCGTATCAATGAAGGATAATTTTGATGAATATGCAATTTGATTCGGGTACTTCCTTTTTGAATTAAAATATCCACATACACAGGAGATGCTTTCTTTTCTGGAAGAAATGCTTTGGAGAGCAACTGTTAGTCTATTTAGCTAGTAAATCATAGGATGGGAGAGCCCAGCCGTCTCCCCAGCAGGAGGTACAGTGGATCTGTCTGTCTGTCTGAATCAGACTAGAGCCTGAGCCCAGAGTCTGAGAGCTCAGGGGGCCTGTCCACAGGGGAGAGTAGCATGAGAGAGGGTGCACCCTCCTGAGGCCAGAGACGGGCAGCTCTGGGGGGGCTTCCCATTCTCCAGGAGGCGGGGCCCATAGCCCAAGCCCATAGCTCAGCTGCAGCAGCTGGAGGACCCGACAGGGGAAGCAGAGCTGCTGGTGTCTGTCCTAGCAGGTTCCATGAAGCACAGTGATAAAGACAGACAGCTGGGTTTGTGAGAAATAGCCTCGTCTATCCTCGACGCTTGAATCAGCGGCCTGCAGGCATGACAGGGGTTGCTCGGTAACATCTGGGACCGGAAACTGCCACCCTGAGCAGTCAGGCCCACGTGTCCTCCAGGCCTGGAAGCGCAGGGCAGCACCAGGGATGCCAGCCCCGCCGGCTAAGTGTCTTCCCCTTGCTGCAGGAGCCCTTCCGAGGCTCACTGTGCCCCCTGCACCGCGTGCTCCTGTCACGGCCCTCCGCACGGCCCCTCTCCCAGAGCCAGTGGGGAGCCCGTTTCCAGGACCCCATCCTGCCATGCGAGTGGGTGATGGCAGCCTGTTGCCTCCCTCCTCGGGCCCACCCCTCACCCACTGGGCACCGGCCCTTCTGCGTCTCGGCGGACAGTGAGACGCTGAGAGCTGGTGATGTCACTGGGCAGCCTCCCGCACGCGGGGCAGCCGGGCCGTGGTCGGAGAGCCTGGAGCTGGGAATCTGGAGGTTGGGACCTCAGGGGTGGCTCTGCCGTTGGCAGGGCCGCTTGGGCCGCTCAGCAGGGCCTCCTCTGAGACTCCAGGGGAGGATGAGATGGCGGCTCAGCTCCTGCAGCCCGGACTTCCTTACTCAGTTGCCTCCCTGTGGCCACCTTGCCAGACTCTCCAGCCTCCAAGACCGGAGGGGCCTTTTCCAGGCGCCCCAGGTCCCTGGGGCCTCCCATCTCAGCAGGGACATCGTGGCATCTTAAATTCGCCTCCGTGACATCAGGAGTAGTAGAAATAGGTTCTAGTTCCTTCTACTGTGGGGTTTTTATTTTCATCCCCCAGGAGGCAGCTGAGCTCACCTAGAGGTGTCCCGGCCAAGGGTGGGGTGGGTGGTAGAACCCTCGGAGCCAGGAGGCTGGCTCCCAGCCCCCCGTTACTACCCAAGCTCTGCTTATGGGCTGGGACCAGCACCGGTGACTTCGTCCAGCATCTCATTCCCGGGGCCGCGTGGACCATGTTGCTTGGGAATTGTTCCCCAGAGAATCAGTTTCGCCAAGAAGGGAGACCATAGCTTCCCCTGCTCTCCCTCCTCATCAGCACGCGCGCTTCCCAGGCCGGGGCTGCTGAGGCAAAGTCAGCAAGTTGTGATTAATTTGCAGAGCTCGACCGTGTGAGCGCTTTGAAATTTCTAACCAGGCGCGCTCCTGGCTGAGTGATGCTGAGGAAGGATCTTTAATTGGAAACAGCCGCAGACGGTAGCATGGGCAGCAAGAGAGAAGGGGCACCAGAGCGAAACAGAGAGGAAATGCTGACAAGGAAGAAAACTGGCACGGAGTTGACGCCATATTTGCCTGGGAGCCCTGGGCACGCCAGGGTGGGTCTCAGTGCGAGGGGCTCGGGCGGGAGGCACGGAGGAGCATGCGGCCAGAGGTAGCAAAACCAGGAACTCATTTATTTCAACCTCTCTCCTTGTTTTTAACAAGCACTGTCTTTTCCAGATTGCCCTCCTCTCGGCCTGGAAACCTTAAAAATCACAGACTTCCAGCTGCACGCGTCCACGGTGAAGCGCTATGGCCTGGGGGCGCACCGGGGGAGACTCAATATCCAGGTAGGGCAGGAGGGAGGTGTTGCTTTGCTGGTGACTCTGGCAACAGACATGGCGACAGTCAGATGAGCTGGGTCAGGTACAAGGTGTGGCGGCCAGAAGGCTTTAGCCCCAGTTCACACAATAGGGGGAGCGTGGCTTCAGCGCCCTGCTCCGGAGAGAGCGCTGAGACTTGAGATATGTGCCTTTTCCAAAGACCTGTTAGTGAGAAGGATGCTTCTGGCTTCTGGCCCCAAGTCGTCCTGCTCCACGTGATGACTCCAGAAAGGGCAGGAGGAGGATGCTGGACTCTGAGGTCATTCCTCTTCTCTTGCCTCCCTGTGGGTCTCACCTCCGCACACACCAGTGTGCTCTGTGGCACCCCCACCAGGTCAAACCCTTCGTGGCTCTCATCATGGATGGCCTCCTTCCCCGGGGCTCCGGGACCCCACAGCCTGGGCCTGTCCCAGGAGGGTGAGCTCCGCCTTGCACTCCGTTCCCCTGAAGCTCTTGACTCCAGGCTTCTCTCAAGCAGTGCCCCTGGCTGCAGCGCCCTCCCCTGCGCCAAGCCCAGCCAGTGGCAGTCCCGTCCAGCCACGCCTTAGTTCCCGGGTGTTGCTCTAGCAACTTGTAAACGAAGCCGCTTGCGCACAGTCGTTCCTCTTACAGTTCTGGGGAGAGACTTCTCCTTGGGCTAACATCAAGGCATGGGCAGGGCTGCATCCCTTCTGCAGCTCAAGAGGCGGGACCCTTTCTTGGCCTTTTCCAGCTTCTAGAGGCTTCCGTCTTCCTTGCTCGAGGTCCCTACCTCTGGCCGGTTGAGTCCTTCTCAGGCTCTCAACTCCCTGGTTCTTTCTTCTTCCACTTTCAAGGACCCTTGATTACTCTTAAGCACCTGGAAAGGACACTTTTAAGGACCCACCTGGGAAATCCAGGATGCTCCTCCCCGCTCTCCAGCAGCCTCCATCCTGCCTGCAATCTCCATCCCCCTCGACACGACCTCGCGTGTACACAGGCTCTGGGTCAGCCCGTGGGCATCTTCGACGGGACGGGGGCTTATTTCGCCAGCTCATCTCTGGTGCCTTTTCCCTCCTGCTCAGCTCCAGAGCAGCTGCTGCTGATCTGTACAGTCCATTGCGGTTCTTAAAAGGACCATAGTTTAGCTTTTCCCCCCAATGCTCCATAACTGTGGTTTCACACCCCTTTGCTCACCGAGTCCTCTGGGAGGGACATGGTCCCTCACCTCGCGATGTGGCGACTCTCAAGTCTGGCAGCTTCTGAGTGGCAGAGCCGAGACTCCCCTGCCCCAGCTGTCAGTGAGCTATGGGGCTGGACCAGAGTGGATGTGGCCCCTTCCCCGAGGTCACAGCATCTGAGCGTCAGCCAGCCCCTCCTCCCTCCAACTTGACCACATCTACTCAGCGGTCACCACTTTTCAGCTCAGAATTCAGAGAATATCCAGAACTAGCCAGTGAAATCCAGACTGGTTTATAAATATCGGTTCTTTCTTTGCAGTGATAGCTCTTAAGAAACATTTGGCCTGTACAGCTGGGTCTGTGGGTTCCAGAGGAACTTTCACCATCTCAGGGGACCACTGCCCCTCCGTGGGCTCCAGTCCTCCCCATAGATGACATCAGGCCCTGCCAGGGCAGCTCCGAGGCGAGGTGGGGCCGTCCATGTGTTAATTACAGGCGCTGTCATCGGACATGTGGTTGCGTCTCTGTAAGTGAGATGCCTTAACCATGTTCACCTGTATCCCCGCTTGCAGTCAGGAAGGCAGAGAGGCCCTGGTAGTCCTCAGGTACTTGAGTTAGGGGAACCTTTGGGGTTTGTCATTCAGGTGGGGAGTTCCCCTGCAGAGTGGATGGGCAGAGTGGGCAGTGCAGGGGCGCAGCCAGCCAGCGGGCCTTCTGGGCTCAGACCTTGGCCTTGCCATGTGGACACTCAGGGTCTTTGGAAGCAGGGTCTCAGGGTTCGGAGCCTCAGCTGCCTGATCAGAACAAGGGGAATCTGAATGCTGACAGACTCCAGGAGCAGCACTCCGCATGGGGGTGGCTCAGAACGTTTGGGTGCGCCGCCGGAGGTGTGTGCAGCCGGCCAGTGTCCACTGCGCTGTCTCCACTATGCACCTTTGGGGGTCATGGGGCAGCTGGAGCAGCCGACCGTGCTGTCCTTGTGTCCTGGCCATCCTTGCTGCCTCCCTCGTCCGTCACCAAGCAAGGCGCTCCCAGGGAGAAAGCAGGACCCTGGGCTGAAAGCTCCAGCAGAGACGCTTCCTGTCTTCAGGATGAAAATACAGGGCAAGTGAAATCACTCAGTGATACTGGTCCTCGGGGGGTTATGCTTCCTCAGTGTTCTGTCATCACCTGAACATCCTCCCGTGTTCTTCGGGTGTGAAGCTGCTGTTCTAATCCCCAGCTCGGGGCCAGTTGCCCTGGCCCTGGACTGCACCCCCCCATGCGTTCTGGGATGTTGACCATGGAGCAGCGCTGGTCACCTGCCATGTGTATGAGGGACTTTGGTGCACCCCCTGCTCCCCAGGAAATAAAGGCGCGGCCTTGCTCCCTCGGTGGTTCCCACCTTCCAGAATCAGCCCCCGAGAAGTGTGATCCCCCACCGCAGGTGATCTAAAACGCACCTTCCCACACGCGTGGTTTGAAATGCAGTTTAAAAATAACCCCCTCTTGCCTCACACAGGAGAATTTTGTAGGCGTGTCAAGCTAATGGGATTTTGTGTGCAGGAAATAGGAAGGCATCGGAATTAGAAACTGCATTGAAATACCCGGGGACAGGTCACAGGCCAGGCCAGAACATCTCCCTGCTGGCCCACTCTGCGGGCACACGCGGTCGGCCCAGAACTTACCGGCTCATCACCCCAAAGGCCCCACCTGGGGCCCAGGTTTCAACATAAGAATTTTGAGGGGACATAAACGCTCAGGCCATAGCATTCTTTCCCTCTCATTTTAAGCAGAAAACTTTGAAAGAATAAACAGGCGCTATAGCATAGCTTACAGGGTTTTTGCAAGTAGAGTTTTGCTCATGGAGCAGAGTAACGCAAGCCGAGACAAGAAATCCAGCCGCCAGCCCATTCATACGCCGGGACAAGATGCACATTTCGAAAATTCAAGGAAAGATCTAGCTCAGCAGCTGGCGAGGTTGGCCCTCTCCCCTGCTATCATGCTGCCCGCACGCCCGGGTCCCTTCATGCTGACTCCTGTGGTCTCACTGAGAGACAGTCCCGGGCTGCTTCTGCCATGGACAGACCGGAGATTAACGCTCTGGGCCTTGGAGAGGATGATTCTGCAATGACCTTTAATGGCAGCTGGACCATCCGCCCGGGGCTGGTCTTAAGAGGTGGCTCTGCATTCCAGAGCATCCTCTGATCGCAGTTTGTCACCTGTCCTGTCCCTGACGAATCCTCTGGGGACCCCGAGAGCTTTTCCACAGCTCATAACCTAGGCCAGGGTGCTGGCGACAGCATGGGCTCCTCGGTGGTTGATCCCACTGCGTTAGTGCTTTTTCCCGAGCACCATTGGCTGCTTTTTGGCTGGGAAGCCTTGAGCAAAGTCGAGCGGCACTTGCCATTTCAAAGGGCTGCCTTTTGATTCGTTCTCAGACTTGAAGTCCTGCTCAGTGTGCGACCCCAGGAGATCGGAAGAAATGTGATTTGGAGGCAGGGAGAGGCGGCTCGGGCAGGCTAGCTCCGCGAGTGCTGGGGATGTTGAGTTGAGCTCAGGTCTATTTTGAAGCAAGAGTGGACATTTTGAGGCCACATGGAGGAAGGCGTGTGGTGCAGTCTCTCCTCCAGATGTCCTTGGGGTACCTGGTCATGGCCATGCACGCCGTGTCCTACATTGGTCTCTCCTGTGTTAGCGATGACCTAGGGCCTGGCCCTTCAGAGAAGGTCACTTCCGGCACCTCTTCCACGAGGACCGTCTGGTTAGAAAAGTAGCATCTGGACGAGCCATTTCTCGGCACCGCCCAGTGAGCCGTGGGCCTGCTCTAAGTCATGCCAGGAAGGAATTCTGCGGAACCCTGGATGCTGACATTGGGACCCAGCGCCAGTTGCTCTCATAATCTTTTTACTGGACATGAGGCCTAAGCCTTGAAGGGGGGTGTTGCCCATGGCTCCAGCTGTACCCCCGGGGTGACATGAGGTCACTTATGCGACTTTCAGCCAAGTTTCATCCTGGTGTCCAAGTTCAAGTGTGGGCGTACCTCACACATCTGCTCCCCCCACCACTCCCTCTGGCCCTGATGTCCCTGCTACCACACCTCATCCAAAGGTGGAAACCCTGGCAGGAAGCACCGGGCACCACCCAAGGCAGCATCGACGTCTTAGATATCACCCCACCTCCCACTACTGCCTATTGCTGGCATTGTCTGCCCCTGGGCTCTTCTGATCCCAAAGTCTGACACCCGGATGCCCTGAATATTCTGCCTTCAGACAACCTGGGTGCCCAGCCTCCAGACGTCCTGGGTGCCCAGCCTCTAGACGCCCTGGGTGCCCAGCCTCCAGTGGGATTTTGGTAGCACAAGACCTTGCTGGGAGTTGAAATTCCTCCCTGGGTGCTGACGTGTGCTCGGGGCTGTGTGGGGACAGAATCATCACCACGGGGTTGCACCACACCCAGGGCTGGGGTGCCTGGGCCGATGAGAGGACTCTGGTCTGCATCTGGCTTCAGGAAACAGTGTGCGCGACAGCATGTGCATGCCAGGAGGCTGGAATTCGGGGTATTTGGATTTTTATGGGAATAACAGGGCTGAATATTTTAAATCTGGACTCTCAGAAAATTCAAAACGAGAATTTACCAGAGTAACGATGAAGAGCTGGTCTCACTTGAGAGCCTACAGCATGATAACCACATGGGCAGTTAGAGGAATGAGGAGCAGGACAAGCAACAGGAAAAGGGGGCCCGAAGTAACAAGCACCTAGGCCTGGGAACCTGAAATTGCTGAGGACCCCAGATCTCTTGCTCAGATGTGGGTTCCTTTCCTCTTGCTGTGTGGTTTTCTTTGCTCTT